GAACTCAAAATTACAAGGACAACTTGACTTAAATAGACCCTAGCTACGCTTACAACTCAAAAGGAAGTTCTAAGTACAGTACAACTCGAAAAGGAACTCAAATCCAACAACTAAAAGAAATCAATAGGCAAAACATAATAGTAATCCTAATTCGAGAAGGATACAGATTCCTGGGTTTGCAAGACAGTTTTGTCAATCTTCGGACGATCTTGCACACATTCGTTCGAAGGCCTCAAGGTACCCTTTTAATCAATCAACTCCACTTCTTTGTAGAAGATTATACCTACTTTCATGTGGTGTAAGCCTCTGGACTCGACTTGCAGCCATCCTTCTCGAATTGAGCTCAAAAAGTAAGCTTCATGAACTCGGTTTTACACTTAGCCATTTTCTGACGGTTTTCCTGTGTTGACAATGAGTTTTGAGCAGCCTTGAAAATTCACTTCCTGACTTCCCCTCGAGCTTCCAAACACTCCAGCTTGTAGAAGAACATGCCAACTTCAAAACAATGCCTTAAACTCCCATTTTCATTGCGCCAATTGTGACGACCAAGCTTGCAAAGTCGCCTCCCTGAAACAGTCAAAACACTTAGACAATTTTCAGTTTGCTTCTCTTCAATTGAACTTGATTCTTTACACATGAATGGAGACTCGGATTACAAGCAATTTGGGATCATATCAACATGGAAAGAGGTTAACATGGAAAACTCATATATGTTTTTCAACAAGAACACTCCGGATGATATTTGACACCAGATTTCTACTTTCTTTGTTTTCCCTTCCCACATTTGTCATGACAAGTATTTGGGAGTTCCAATTGAATGGGGACGATCGAGGAAGGACACTTTTAATTTTTTCATCGGAAGGATGGAAAAGAAATGAGAATCATGGAAGAGCCTAATTTATCTCATGGAGGAAAAGAGACTATGTTGAAGGTGGTGATCCAAGCTATTCCAACATATATTATGAGCGTCTTCCTTCTCCCTTGTTCTCTCAGTAGGAGAATGGATTCTCTCCTCCATAGATTCTTCTGGTCTTGTTCGATGACAAAGTAATCCATTCCATGGCGGAAAGGGGAAGTGCTTAATGACTCAAAACTTGAGGGGGCATAGGTTTCCAGAATTTTCACTTATTCAATCTTTCTTTGTTGACTAATCAGGGGTGGAGGTTAATCACGGAACATGAGACTCTTTGGGCAAGAATGCTTCGTGGACTCTACTTCCCAAATGGAGATTTCTCTTCGGCTCGGAAAGGAAGCACCCCATATTACATTTAAGCAAGCTTGTGTGACGCTTGGAAGGCTCTTGATATCGGTATTATTCAAGTGATTGGCTCATGGGTTAATACTTGGTTCCATAGTGATTTTTGGGTGCATCCTCTGCATGATTAAGGCTATAGGATCTCCTCTAGACTGGATCCTTCCTCACGTGTCAAAGATTGGATGAATGAGGACAGGCGAGGCTGGAATTGATCTTATCAGGAGACACTGGTCCGAGGCTGAAGTTGAAGCTATCTCACAGGTTTATACCAGCCCAAGTGAAACAAATGATAAATGGGGTTGGAGAGTTACGCCATCGAGGGAGTTCTCTATTAGGGCCGCATACCATGGCTTACGCAAGCACCTTAGCAACCTCCATTTCCCTCAACCTCTTGATCTCAATGTGCCTGCTGCAGAAATTGGAAGTGACTTTGGTCACTTATGCTTCCCCTAAAGATTTCTTTCTTCATGTGGAGATGCATCGGGAATGCATTGGCCACCAGTCTAAATCTCTTCCGACATAGATGTTCTCCCACCCCGAGGTGCTAGTTATGTAATCAGGGGAGGAAACCTTGATCTGGAGGAGGAAACCTTTGTGCCTCTACTTGGAGGGACAAAGGGAGGACAGGTGTCGGCGCCGGAGATGAAAGAAGGACACGTCACTGAACATGTGTCGTCTAGGCCCATCAGCGCCTGCCACGTGGTTGTACACATGTCAACCATGTTTTTGCCTAAGGGGAACACTCTTGCCACATGCAGACTAATTGAGGAGAGGGAATGACACATGTGCATGTAGGAGTGCATGCAATGAATCCAGGTGGGGAGAATACATATGGATCTGGGTGCCGGGAGTGGGGGGCAACAACGGGTTCGGGAACCAGCCAAGAGGAGAAGACCCACGCCGTAACAATAGCGGGCCCGGGCGCCTGGAGGAGGGCGGAGTCCGGGAGTCGGGCACTGGGAGCAATATCGGGCCTGGGCGCTGGGAGTCAGACAAGAAGTGAAGGCCCGATGCCGGTAACCTGGGCAATAGCGGGCATGGGCGCAGGGGACAGGGATCGATAACAGGCATGGGCGCTGGGATCCGGACTAGAGGTAAAGGTCCGCCGCCGGGAGCCGGGGCAATTGTGGGCATGGGTGACGAAAGGAGGGCAAAGCCCAAGTGACGGGAAGAGTGCGAAACCCTAGAGCCGTGGTCCGGGAGCAAAACGGGACCGGGCGCTGGGAACCGAAAAAGAGGTGAAGGCCCGCCGCTGGGAGCCAGGGAAATTGTAGTCTGGGTGCAGGGAGGAGGGCGAAGCCCGGGAGCCGGGGCAATAGCAGAACCGGATGCAAGGGACTGGGACGAGAGGTGAAAGCTCACCACCGGGAGCCGGAACAATTGTGGGCCCCAGAGCCGGGAGGAGGGCGACGCCAGGGAGCCGGGTCCGGAAGCGATAACGGGCCTAGGCGCCGGGAAACAGACGAAAGGTGAAGGCCCATCGCCAAGAGCCGGAGCAATAGCAGGCTCGGGTGCTAGGATCCGGACAAGAGGTGAGGGCCCGCCGCCGCGAGCCAGAGCAATTGTGGGCCCGGGAGCCAGAATCCGAACAAGAGATCAGGGACTGCCGCCGGGAACCGGGGCAATTGTGGGCCCAGGCACCGGGAAGGAGCCCGGCCCGGGAGCGATAATGGACCCGGGTGCCAAGAACCGTACAAGAGGTGAGGGCCCGCTGCCGGGAGCCGGGGAAATAGAGGGCCCGGGCGCCGGGAATGAGACGAAGCCCGGGTCCCAGACCCCGGGAGCGATAACGGGCACAGGCGCTAGGTCCGGGCGCAATAATGCATCGGGGAGAGCCGGGCTCAGAGGGAGGAACCCTCAACTGGAGGCAATCACGAGCCACTGAATGATTTAGTGTTGGCGGCCATGACACAATTGTGTACCGATTGGAGATGGACGTGCCTAACCCAATATTTCACTGGAGATATCATGGGTTGTGCACGATTATCGGCCTAGGTGCACTGATGCACTGTTTGAGCATATGGTGAGCTGGTGTTGTAAAAATATTTTTACATTGGGTATATCAGTAAGACACTGGTGGATTCTCTTAAAGAAGACCCCTACTCTTGGTAGTGGAGCTGTTATGCTCTTATTGGCTCTATACGTGCTATTCTTCAGGCTAGTGATTGGATTCGTGTCTCCTTCACGGGTAGGAATCACAATGGGCAGGTCCGGGGCGGGTATCTCGATATCCATACCAGCCCCGTGGCGGGTCGGGTCGAGTACAGGTCGGGTAATTTATGACGGGTCGTGGGTCGGGGCAGGTCGACCCAATGAGTATGTAATTTATATGAAAAGCATTAGAAATATTAGTTATTTTCATTATAAAACCAAGAAATAAATCATAATATGGTAAAATGTAGTTAAATTATTTGAGAAATTGAGGTTTTCACTAATTTACAACTTTATAATAGCTAAAATATGATGTAATAAAAGAAAAATATTAGGTAATTTGCCTAAAACTACATGTAATTTAGGCAAGAACGGGTCGAGAATGGGGTAGGTCAGGGCAGATCGGATCGATGAGAATACCCATGCCTGCCCCAAAACAGGTCAAACAGGTAGGGTAAAATGGCTAAGGTCGAAATTGTCATCCCTATTCACGGGTCGTGCAAACAACAAGTGTGCGGAATGGGTGCAACGTAACTGTAGAAAAGATTTTCTTCACACTGAGTGGTTGTCTGTAGGGCTGGAAGTTTGGTACCGGTATTTGGGATATACCGAATACCGTACCGAATTTGTTTATATTTGGTATTACCGAATACACGTGTTATTTCGTAGGATTGAGATTGGGATTGAATTTCAATTGTTATTCGGTATTAGGGATTACGGGATTGGGATTGGGATCGGTATATACCGAAATACCGAAATATAAGTTAGTGTGTATTTTATCATCTCAACTAGACTCTCTCATTCACTACTACGCGACCCTCAACCTCCAAAAGTGTCATTTAATTATAAATAAATCATTACATCACTATTTCACACTAGTATTAGTCATCTCTCAACCTCAAATTCGTCAAATTAAAGATTATCAATTACAAGAACTTGAGATGTTAGCTCTAGGCAACTCAAGACTATTTGCTTCGTCTCTTTGCCCTAAATTAAACAATAAAATCTAATTTATATATTTAATTATTAATTGCAAAGGTAATTAATTATGTATTCGATAATACTGATTGAGATACCGAGGTACCGATTGGGATACCGAAATTATTTAGGAATTGAGATTGGAATACCAAAATTATTTAGGGATTGGGATTGGAATTAGAATTGATTTTAGGGTGTAATTCGGTATTCGGGATTTCTATATTTGGTATTAGGATACCGATACCGTACCAATTTTTTTTTTTTGTTAAATGTTGTACAGATATGCTGTAATCTCCATGGATGTCAAACCGGGGTCCGGCCGGCCGGTTGGACCGGGTCTGGCCGGAACCGGACACTAAAATGGCCAGAGCCAACCATAATTAGAACTGGCCGGTAGCCGGTCAAAACCGCTCAGAACCGGTCAAAACCGTGGTCTGACCGGATTTAACCGGCTACCGGCTATAATGAAGTGATGTCGTTTGGCCTAGTCTGAAGCTTCTTCAAAATTATAAACCCTAACAAATTGGATCGCATCTCCTTTCCGTCTCCGTCGAGCGCAGCAGCCAACAGAGCCCACGCCAGCAGCCACAACTAGCGGAGCAGAGTCTCGCCGCCGCTGCTCCCTACTCCACGCCTTGCCGCCGACGTATGGACCAAGCTCCCCGCCTCCTCGCCGCCGCTCGCCACTCGAAAATTGAGACTCTCCACGACGTCTTCTTCTGTTGGCGCCGCCGGTAGCTTAGAGGGTCCGACCCCATACCCGACCAAACCATATAGTAGGGAAATCGTTCTTGATTTCGCGGTATGGAGAGCCGGCGATGTTGGCGGCAGAGAGTTCCGGTCGATTGTTTGGCGACAACGGTTGGTGAGCTTGAGCGTATCGGTTCGTGCAAAAGAAAAGAAAAAAGAAGATTGAAATTTGGATTCGGTACTGTAGGAGAGAAAGGTAGTAGCGGATGAATTAATTAACTTGGAAATTGGTCAGTTAATTAACTAATAATCCCCTTCATAATCCAATCCAAACCTGCTAACAAATTAAACAAACTAATCCACTATAAAACAAACCATTTACGTTAATTTCCCACATATTTTTCCACTATAAAACAAACCATTTACGTTAATTTCCCACATATTTTGTCAAAACCGGCTTAATCCGGTTGAACCCCGATCCGACCATTAAACCTCAAACCCTTTATCAAACCGGCTGGACGACTTAATCCGGTTTGACAACCTTGGTAATCTCTGCCCTGTTTGATTGGGTTTGAATGAATGGAAGTTTTATTTATAAAAAAAAGCCGCTGACCACTGACCCTCTATCCATCCAAGTTCTAACCCTCTCACAGTATCATTATCCCGTCGCTTTCTTTCAGTCGCCACCAAAGCAGAAACGTCCTGAATTAACAAACAAATTGGAAACCCAAGGCGAATAATTAAAATACGCCCCAACACACAGAAAAAAAGCAGGAGATTCCTTCTCGATTCTGGCCAAGTCAGACCCCAGGAAAAGCTGGGCTTTCTACTCTGTTGATCAAACCCATACTTCCGCCCCTCGGAATCATCTCCAGAAAAACATAGAAAATCCAGCAATTTGATAATACTCTAAACTCATTCTTCCATTTTAGCAGCTCGGCCATCGCCACGAAAAGTCAGTCACCCACCAACTGGCAACTGCGGCTCAGCTGCGGTAGCTAGTTGTCATCTCCCACAAGTAACCCCCTTCCCCTTAATCCCCTCCATTCTTCTTCACCCATCGTTTCTCAAAAGCCCAAATCGAGAAAATAGTCCTCATGGCCCGCCAGCAGAGCTCCCAAACTCCACTTCTGGGTGCCGATGATGGCGTCTCGCCTTCTAAGAAGCGGAATTGGGGCAAAATAGCTCTGTTCCTGATTCCTGCCTTGTTAGCCATCGCAGGTAAGAATTTTACATGTTTAGCGTCATGGGTTTTGCTTCTTCTTTCCTGGGTTCTGTCCCAATTCTAGCTGAATTCGAACTGTTAAAGTGTGGAGCTAAAAAATGTTTATCCTTTTTACCTTTTGGACTTTTTTCTCGTTGCTCGATTGGCGTGTTCGCAGCCTAACTATTTTGTGATTGCAGCTCTGCTGGGAGTATTCCTTTTGGGCGATGTGAATCCCCTGTTTCGGGTGAATGGAAATAGAGCTATTGAAGGCGATGAGAATGCAGAAATTGAGTCGGAGAATGGAGTTGTGGCAGCAGATGATGCCAGGTGCTCTCAAATTGGCGCTTCAGTTCTCAGGCAAGGCGGACATGCCGTCGATGCAGCAGTCGCCACGGTGTTGTGCCTCGGAGTAGTGAATGCCATGGCGAGTGGGATAGGTGGTGGTGGTTTCATGGTCGTCATGTCTTCTTCCACTTCCAAAGTTCGAGCTTTCGACATGAGAGAAACTGCCCCTTCTGCTGCTACCAAGGTCTGACCTTGCAATTAATTGCCCTAGTTTTTACTCAAAGTAGCCCTATCTTAAAGTTTAAGATTAGATTTAATTTTATCCTTTTTTTTGGATAACAACACAATTAAACAATACGAAGAAAATAAAATTTTCTCTTTCCCCTCGAAATCCAACCACCAATGTTGCTAAGGCTGGAAATTTGATATAATTATTTTATATATATCGAATATCATATCGAACTTGTTGATGTTTGGTATTATTAAATATACGTATCTTTTCTTGATATTAGAATTGAATTTCAAGTGTTATTTGGTATTGAGAAATACAGGATTGAGATAGATATATACTGAAATATCTATCAATACTGAATATAACCTAGTGTGTATTTTATCCCTTTCAACTAGACTCACTCACTTACTAATACCATACTCTTACCCTCAATTGTCAATATGGTCACTTAATTATACATACTTCATTCCCACACTAATTGACAACTCATACCAAGCTCGTTTTGTTACTTGTAGGATGTGCATGGGTTGCTTAGTCGTTCCATGTTTTAGTTTGTTGGTTTAGTTTGTTAATGTGCTTCTAAGTCACCACATTTTTCTAGTGTGTTGCTATTATACTTGAGATTTTTCCTATTTGTTTTGCACAAGAGTTACCACCACACCATTGTTTGTTTTTGTATGTTTTGAGAGTGGTTTGTGGAGCTAGTATTTGTGTATATATATTTGATTTGTAATTTTGAAAAAAATTAATTTGGTATTTGGTATATACCGATACTGAATAAAATTTTAGAAATTGGAATTGGGTATTTGCTACTTTGGTAAGTATTAATTTGCCCCCTAATTTTAAAATATATATATATATATATATATATATGTTACAATATTTTTCTTGCTTCATTATTATTACACAGCCTACATATACCGTTCTGTGTCACTTCTCATTCTGGGTATTTTTCTCATATGGTCTCTTGCTGTTGTGAATTTGGTTGTGACTTGAGCACAGAACATGTATGCAAATGATATTCAAGCCAAGTACTTAGGTCCACTATCAATGGGGGTTCCTGGCGAGATAGCTGGCCTTCATGAAGCTTGGCAGCAATATGGCCGCTTGCCATGGAAGTCCTTATTCCAACCTGCAATAAAACTCGCCAAAGATGGATTTGTGGTCGCTCCTTACTTAGCCCTGTCCATAGCCGAAAGCACCAAGATCCTGAACGATCCCGGATTGCAGAAAGTGTTTGCACCCGGTAACAAGCTCTTGAAAGCCGGCGATGTATGCTACAATGCAGAGCTAGCTCGAACGTTGGAAGCCATTTCCGAGCATGGGCCAGAGGTGTTATACAATGGCAGTGTGGGTGAGAACCTGGTGAAGGATGTGAGGAAAGCTGGAGGGATAATAAAGATGGAGGATTTGAAGAACTACAAGGTGAGAGTCACTGATGCAGTTGCTGTGGATGCCATGGGTTACACCATACATGGAATGCCTTCTCCTTCGAGTGGAACTCTTGGGATGTCGCTGGTGATGAACATCTTCAAAAGCTATGGGAGTGTTGATGCTGCGAAAGGGGGAATCGGTCTGCACCGGCTGATCGAATCGTTGAAGCACATGTTTGCACTGAGAATGAACCTGGGAGATCCTGATTTTGTTGATATTAGTAAGGTTCAAGCTCAGATGCTTTCTCCGTCGTTTGGTGAGAAGATTCGGAAGCTGATATTTGACAACACTACTTTCCCGCCGGAGTATTACATGCACAAGTAAACTGTCCAGGACCAAATCTTACATAAAACTGCCATGATTTATATGATTCTTAAATGACTGTTGTTGGACTTTCGAGTTGCAGGTGGAGTCAGCTGAGAGATCATGGAACCAGCCATTTATGCATTGTTGACGGGGAGAGAAATGCTGTGTCGATGACGACGACTGTGAACTATGGATTTGGAGCTGGGTTGCTGTCTCCTTTGACTGGGATCGTGATCAACAACGAGATGGGCGATTTCTCAGCTCCAACCGAGATTTCTGATGATCAGCTCCCTCCTGCACCTGCAAACTTCATCGAGCCAAATAAGCGGCCATTATCTTCCATGACACCTATTATAGTTACCAAGGTAATTGTAGGGGTGGTATAGGTGACAAACTTGACCAATAGATCTATTTGTTGATTGAGAAAAAAAGGTGCCAACTTTGTGAACTTAGATCTACCTGGATCACATCCTCAGGTGTCCCCTTAAGCTTGTATGTTTGCTTTAAACGCAGGGCAATCAGCTGGCTGGAGTGCTTGGAGGGAGCGGCGGCTTGTACATCATTCCGGCAATAGTACAAGTCTTCCTCAACCATTTTGTGCTTGGGATGGAACCTTTACATGCAGTCCTAAGTCCAAGGGTTTACCACGAAGTTCGTATTGTGCATTCTTCCTTCATAAAATCACACTGCTTTCAATATTTGCAGAGGGAGGGTCAAACCGAATTATCGATTATGATGTGGTGTTTTTGTTGCAGTTGATACCAAATGTGGTCAGTACGAGAACTGGACTTTGCTATGCGGGGATCACATAGAGCTTGCAGACCAGAGGAAGGATTTCTTGAGAGAGAGGGGTCATGAATTGAATGCACATGCAGGTGGAGCTATAGTGCAGCTTGTTTGTTCAGTCTCTACAAAACCCGATTAAACGAAAGACGAATGTTGGCGACAATACAGTAATCCATGGAATGCTAACTGCAGTAAGTGACCTACGGAAGGATGGCAGGCCAGCAGCTGCTTGATCAATTCGAAACTGTTCTCTACATCTTTAGGACTATTGGCCAACAATGCATGGCAGGTGTAGTTAGATGATTCTAAGGGGGTCTCTAAAGCCCTGAAGTATATGTACATTCAAACATGGCAAACGATCAAAGGTCAAACTCTATTTCATCTGGCAATTAATCTGTGAAATAAATCTGTCATTCTAAAGCACAGCATCGGTTACTATGAGCTAAACAAAACGTTGAGAATCTCAACAATCCTTAAAGAGCAAACATTTGGTTTCCTCCTGATCCTATAGATCAGTGCACATTTATCAAAGACGGAAACAAAAAACAGAAAATAAGAACACGATGCCAAACTGCAGAGCAGGAGAGTTGATACACAAGGAAAAAGTATCGTAGTTATCTATTCAACTAAGACAAGTTACAATTATACATTGTTATCTTTCATAAACATTCTGTGTTGTAAGCAGAGAGCTTTGACTGATGACATGAAGTTCTTGGGGCTCTCTACCAACATAAAAATACGAAAAGCGAGCGACAAATCCCGAGTGAGAGATATAAGGCAATGAGTGCAAAATCAAGAATCAGTTCTTGCCTAGGATGTTTTCTCCATCAACTGAATGGGGCTGAGGATGTTGGATTTGCTTGTCTCGACAATGCAACCATTCATGACCATCTCCTCCAGCATGAAATGGGCTTTCTCTAAATGGAACATTATGTCTAGCTCACACTGATCGCAACAACAATAGATTTCGAAAACAAGTAAGCGTCTTCTTGATGCAAATGCAACCTTCCTGGCAATTTAGGTCGAGCGAAAGATTAAATAAATTCCATTCAATCGTCAAACCAAAGGACTTACCACATTGCCGAAATGACGGTCCATGGTTTCAACTAAGAGATGTATGAATTCCAGAATCGCGAGCTCATTCTGCAAGCAAGCAAAGGGAAAAAGCTTAGCTCACTGGCAGAAGATGTTCAAACAACGGAATCTCCATAGCCATTCGAAGCAGAAAGCCTCAATCAAACAAAACCCCAAATGGTTAAAATCCATTCATCTCCCCTTTATATCTAATAGATGCAAGGAAACAAACAAAGGTGAGAACTAGGAACCCTACTTCGTCATTGTCAACTCCAACCAGGAAAAACAGGGATGCGTATCTCCTGTACACGATCTTGTAATTGCTATGCTCAACGAACGAGCACTACCATCAAAAGGGAAACTTGGTCAGATCATATACAGTTCAACTTCGAAATTTAGAAAAACTCTGGTGCTTCTTCGTCAATGTCAAAACAGAACTGGGTTTGCTCTCTGGTTTCGATTTGATTGAGCTGGATCATCGAAAAAATGGTTTAGGCTTGATGATTAAAAGAGCAACTACTGCGGCGAATTAGATGAATCAGGGAAACACACGACCTAGGATCGAAGATTTCGAGGGAAATCATGATCGGGAGAAAGTGGGGAGAGGTAGAGAGAAACCTGCTGCTCGTTGCGGGCGAGGCACTTACGGACGATATCGCCTTCTAGGGCTCGGC